AGTTGGGCAGGGCTGGGGTTAGGGCTGATGCCCAGCTGGGGCAGTGTGTGGGGCTTGGGGCGCAGGGCCGGAATGCGCAGCGGTAGGGCCCCAGCGGGGAGGGGGATGAAGCCACAGGCAGCTCATCCGGGGGTGCAAAGGAGTGGGGCTGGCTCCTTGCCGCTGCATGCACTTCTGGGGGGGCATGGGAAGCACATGCCACCCAGCTTTGTGTGTGGGGTGGGGGCGGGCTGCCTGCTGCAGGATCAGGCTCCCCACCCTGCTGCCTTCCTCCAGGGCCTTCACAGCCCAGCAGGCAGGACTGGGCGGGGAAGGTCCTTGCTACAGCAAACCCTGTGCTGCCCTGGCAAAACGCCCCCTGCCTGCCTAACAGCAGCGTGGGTGGCAGCCTGGAGTTGTGCCCCTTGCTGGTGCTGGGCAGGGAGAGGGCACCATGCCATGCCAGCGAGGAGCTCCCAGCAGAGGCAACGAGCTTCCCCATGCAGCCCTGTTCTGCCCTTCCATACTGGGTCCTACCCACTGGGCTGCGGAGGCCATGGAGCGAGGGCAGCAGGGCAAGGAGTCCAAGCCTGCTGCAGGTAGCCCACACCTGTCCTCCCCCCCACCCCAGACTCGGCTCCAGCTGTGGGGGAGGGGGAGGAGAAGCTGGGCTGCAGCTGCTGTCTCCTAGGGGCAGCAGCCGGGGTTTGGGCACTGCAGTGGGGAGCAGGGGGCTGCAGATCTAGGTCCCTGGCCCTGTAGCCTTGGTAGCTGGGGGCCCCCTCTGGCAGGGGTGGGGGGGGGAGAACTGGGTGGGAGTGAGGGGCACCAGCAGGCCCAGGGGGCTGTAGCTTGGGAGTGAGGGGCCTGGACCTGTGTCCTGGTGAGTGACGGGGGCAGGGGGAGTTCTGATTTTCCATGCTAAAAATACCAAAATTTATAGGTACTTAGAATTTATTTTATTATAGTGATTGAGGCACAGGTAGGCTTCCAAATTGTTTAGAATTGTGAATATATCAATAAAACATTGTGTTCAGTTGATACCTATATATATAATGGTGTTTCATTTTAATCATGGATTTTTGCAGGGTTTAATCAGAGACTTTGCAATTTTTAAACAGAGAAAACCAGGATCCCTGCTTATGACTGTTCCTTCCCACTGTCAGGCAGGCAGAGGGCCATGCTGGGCCTTTGTTTCAGGCTTAGCTTATTTCCATTGTCCTGCAATTCCTGCCAGACCCCTCAGTCTCTCCAAATCCAGAGACAAGGGATAGTCTCTAACTCTAGAGCTGCAGTGGGTTTTAGTTGTTAAACAGCTGTGTCCACTTTCCCCCTTGTGTGCCTGATCCCAGAGCCTAGGTATGTGATACTGACCTCTGGGGGCCAGAGTCTGTCACTGCATCCAGTATTGGGTGTTCAGGGGATTTATATGAAAACAAGCTATAAATAGGGGCATGGGATGTAGGGGGTGCCATGTCATTATGACTGATCTGAGATACATTCAGTGGGGAGTATCTGCCAGAGGAGCAGTGTGAAAAGAATAGATAGTTTTGCTAAAGAAAATTAAGAGGAATTGTCCTTCCTCAATTAGGCCAAATAGCTTCGATGGAAAGCAGTGAACTTCCCCGGTTCTGTGAATTCAAAGCAAGGTCCTGTTTTAGTGGATCATTGAGCTGGTAATTTTATGTGCACAAAAATCAGAGCATTCAAAGATTCTGTTCCTATGGCAACTATAGCAGCTTGTCTACATGGGGAAGTTAGTGCAAAGTCAGCTAGGTGTGAATTGCAAACACACTAGGATGCTAACTCCCGTTGGAGGCACTTGAGTATGCACTAAGTGTTTCTCACAATTCACTCAATTCACCACCAGCGGACTCTCGATATGCCTAAAGAACGGTTTTTGTGCCCAAAAGCTTGCAAAGAACAATTTTCTCAACTATTTAGTTAATCTAATAAAAGATATCACATTTACCCAAAGAACTTTGTCTCACTAAGTGTGTCCACACAAGAAGGTAACGTGGAGTAGCCAGTGCACTTTAAATTCACACCTTTGTTTACTCACCTATACAACCTTTACACTTGTTTCCTCACCTATACAACCCATAACTTGCTAAATTGCCCTTTTTCTGATTCAGTGCAACATATGGCTCTTTGTGGCCTTAATTTCAATGTCTTTGGATGTAAAAGTGTAATGCAACAGAGAGGTAGAGGTTTTGGCAGCCATAACTTAGCATGTCCCAACTTCTGTGTATGGTGTGTGGGGAATCTTAGCAATTACATGGGACTATCGGAAAATTATAGGTATGGAAGGGACTTCAAATGTCATTAAGGCCAATCCCCATAGGGGGGTTAGTTTAATTGAAGTTAATTTAATTTCCTTCTGCTCAAATAGTGAGAAGTCAATGTGTCCGTTGGACTTTGCCCGGTCAAATAAATGAACATGTTAAGGTACTTCCCATTTGGGGGTCCCAGGCTGTGGGTTTTGAGCAGAATGTAAAATACAGAAAAGGTGGAAGCCAGCAGAGGGGCTGCCAGAGCTGGCCAGGTCTGCTGTGCCTGCACCCAGAGAGGAGATAGCCTAGGCCTGTTC